AGTATCGGTACATGTACTCGTACTTGTACCGAGTACTGTACTTGGTATCTGTGCAACCCTATTGAAAATGTCCCATTTCTACTAGCTAAGGGCAGGAAAATGAGGATAGAGAGGGCAGGGATCAGCAAAACTGGGTGACTGAATATTGGGAAAATCTTGGGTTGTCAAATCATATTTTCTGGTGCCACATGCAAATAGTAGAGGTGTATACAGCATGAATCCATCACTTTTTGTTAGAATGCTGTCAGGCTATATCTACAAACACAAAACACCAGTGAGATCTGCACTCCAATGCACACACTACCCTCCACAGTATCCATACCACATACTGTTCATCAACTGTGACAGTGCCTTATGTGTCCCTACTGCTCACTGTGTCACCTGACTCACTACTACATTCAGTGCCCTGTGGCTCTCATGCCTCACTGCTACGGTACATGCCATTCCTCATGCCTCTTTACTACACACAGTGCCCCCTTCCTCTCTGATATATGCAGCAACTCATGTCTCTCTGCCATGCACAGTGCCTTTTGCTTCTAAGCTACTTACATTATATTATGTGTCTCTATTGCAATTATGGCCTCTATACTACATGCAGTGCCTCATGCCTTCCTGCATGTAGTGCCTATTACCTGCACATACAATGCCTTATGCCTCTCTATTACATGTATAGCCTCATCCCTCAAAAAACACAATGTCTTGTGTCTTTGTACTGCAAGCACTGCTTCATACACTACCACTCTACTACACACAGTGCTTCATACCTCTTTGCTACACACAGTGCCATGTGCCTTTCTACTGTACACAGATGAAATGCCTACACAGGTTGAGAACTACTGCTCTAGACCAACTGTTCCGTTGCCTACTAGGTTGTCCCCAGGGCCGGATTTACTCTCCCTGCCGCCCCAAGGCCAGGTTCTCCCCACAAGGTCACCGCTGCTGCCCCTCGGCGCTCTGCCGCCCCGAGGCCGGGCCTTGTGGGAAATCCGGGCCTGGTTGTCCCCTCCTGATCCACCTTCAAATCACCTCATTCTCCAATGTTGCTTTGTTAATGTAGGAGCCACGTCTGGGCTTGCTTTTATTTTCCCAGCGGTGCCCCTTCTAATCTGTCATGGACGAGAGACTTGAGTGATTTCAAGCCTTCACTGCATGGTGGTTCAGGAGGGGTGCTGCCGCACCAAAAGAAGGGAGCACAGAAGCAGGTCTAAAGCTGTGCAGAGTTTCAGGTGGGCTGTGGTGGGCTGTGCGGAGTATCAGGTTTGCTGTGCAGAGTCTCAGGTGGGCTGTGCAGAGTCTCAGGTAGGCTGTGCAGAGTCTCATGTGGGCTGTGCAGAGTCTCAGGTTTGCTGTGGGGTCTCTGGTGGGCTGTGCAGAGTTTCAGATGGTCTGTGCAGAGTCTCAGGTGGGCTGTGAGATCTATGGTGGGCTGTGCAGAGTTTCAGGTGGGCTGTGCACTTTGGCAGGTGGGCTGTGCAGAGTCTCAGGTGGGCTGTGCAGAGTCTCAGGTGGGCTGTGGGGTCTCAGGTGGGCTGTGCAGCGTCTCATGTAGGCTGTGTGGAGTCTCTGGTGGAGTCTCTGGTGGCCTGTGCGAAGTCTCAGGTGGGCTGTGTGGGGTCTAGGGTGGGTAGTGCCGGGTCTCAGATGGGCAGTGCGTAATCTCAGGTAGGCTGCAGGGGTTTCAGGTGGCCTGGTGGGGTCTCTGGGGGCCTGTGTGGAGTCTCAGGTAGGCTGTGAGGGTCTCAGGTGGCCTGGTGGAGTCTCTGATGGGCTGTGCGGAGTCTCAGGGGTGCTGTGGGGATTCTCGGGTGGCCTGTGCAGGGTTTCGGATGGGCTGTGCGGGGTCTTGGGTGGGCTGTGTGGGGTCTTGGGTGGGCTGTGCGGGGGTCTCGGGTGGGCTGTGCGGAGTCTCAGGTGGGCAGTGCAGAGTTTTTGGGATCTCTGGTGGGCTGTACGGAGTCTCAGGTGGGCTGTGCGGCGTCTCAGGTAGGCTGTGTGGAGTCTCTGGTGGCCTGTGCGAAGTCTCAGGTGGGCTGTGCGGGGTCTTAGGTGGGTAGTGCGGGGTCTCAGGTGGGCAGTGCGTAGTCTCAGTGGGTGGGCTGTGCGGGGGTCTCGGGTGGCCTGTGCGGGGGTCTCGGGTGGCCTGTGTGGGGGTCTCAGGTGGGCTGTGTGGGGTCTCTGGTGGGCTGTGCGGGGTTTCTGGTGGGTTGTGCGGGTCTCAGGTGGCCTGGTGGGGTCTCAAATTGTGGTCTGCGGATTATTAATAACGTTTTCGTTTTTACTTTTTATCCGTTTTTTTAATTTATTTGATTATTGTTTACTTTTTTTCACTTAAAGGAGAACTATGAGGTGAGTGCTTTTCACTCACCTCATAGTTCTAGCCGACCTGTGACAATGAGACTGTCACAGGTCAGCTTAGTAGATCGGGAGGTGAGCGAACACATACCGGCGTTCGCTCACCTCTCGATCCTGTCACGGCTCTCTGCCGTGACAGGGGAGGGGCTGGATTCCCCCCTCCCCACTCCGCTAGCGCTGACTGGCGGAACGGACGGGGGAGGGGGCGGGTACAGCTGGCTCTGCCTCTATATAGGCAGAGCCAGCTGTCAGTCACGCAGCTTGGCGGATCCAGACATAATTGTCGAGATCCGCTTCAGCTGCAGCGTCTCAGTATACCACGAGCAGCTGGTCGCGGTATACTGCGGCGTCTCAGTATACCGCGAGCTGTAGCCTAGAGTGACGGGAGGACGCTAGTTTGTGTCCTCCCATTACCCTAAGGAGAACTATGGGGCAAAGCCTTAACCCCATAGTTCTCCTTTAACTTTATTGCTATCACACAGGGGATAACAAGTACCTGTGTGATAGCATTCAGAAGTAACAGGTTCTCTTTATGAGCCTGCCCTCCAGTACAGACTTGCGACTTAGGAAAGCGCTTGGCTCGGGACATAGGGAACGCACTGGACTCGGCACATACGGAACGCACTGGACTCGGGACATATGGAACGCACTGGACTTGGGGCATAGGGAACGCACCGGACTCAGGACATAGGGAACGCACTGGATTCGGGAATAAAACCAGAAATATACTCACAGATAATACAACCCTACAATACGCACTGAGACATGTACAGATCATCCAGGGCCAGGCAGGCAGAAACATGTACTGTACGTCTGAAGGGATGCCGGGGATGTCCTGTTTGATAAAACATCGGTCTTATGCTCCAGCCGTCACCCATGTTTTATCAAACAGGACATCCCCGGCATAAATCAAAATGCTGTGTCATTATTAATGCAGAATTCCGGGGCTGGGCAGGGTTGAAGCTAATATAAAGAAGGAAGCAGCTAGGAACGCCTCATGATCCTGTGCAGATCTCACATAAAGACTAAGAATGCAAGAAGTAATTCAGATCATTACAATTTGAAAGATTATATCATTTTTTTCTTGGTTTGCATTCTTGACAATTGTCGAGAAATGTCAAACTATCTCTTATTTCCAGAGAATGACCCAGGATTTAAAGTTCTGTCTCTGGAAATCTTTGTTCCGGAAACGTCAATACTATAAAACCCCACATTTTCTTCATGGTTTGCCTTACAAAAACATCAAGGAGGAAAGAGAGACCCCAGAAACATGTGCAGGGCCTAAAGTTAGTGATACAATACTTGTGGGTCAAATGAGAGAACATCAATAGATACCCCGGATCCATGCTACGTATCATGGATGGAGGAACCTCCACTGTCAACTATTGTACTCAGTAGCTGCGGCACTCACGGCTTCATGAATACAAAGGCGTTGCCTATTAGAATGCAATCACTGTTTGGACGATAATTTTCCACCCAGCTCAGCCGGTGCTTGCAGGGCCACCCTTAAATGAAACCAAAATTGATGAGCTTAGGTTTGCATCGAACCCAATCAATAGCTAAACTCCTCCGAACCTGGAAGGGTCACCCGCCCAACCAGCTTAGGGGCAGGGAATGCCATAGCGAGCAGCTACACATAAACAAAGGGACGGGATTGTGTGCTGACATAATTTACCAAATAAAGCCATGTAGCCATAAAAGGTGAATGATGTCACAGCACCCTGCCACTTTGCTTATATGCAGGTGATAGCAGGAAATTCCCTGCCCAGCAGCTGGTTGGGTGGCAGAAAATTAACTTTATTGTTAAGAAATGCATGACATTTCTCAGAGAGGGTTTCCTGATACTGATAACATTACACCATGCTTGGGTAATGGGTATTGAAACAGTCATTTGTAGGCTCACTCAGAAAACTGTGTGATAGGGTGACAATGCAGGACCACAAGTGGGAGAAAGGGACCAAAAGTTGTCATCCTATAACAAGAAGTGCCTGACAAGAACCTTCTTGGCAGCATCGCTGTGTATGTTTTTAAAACGGGCTTTCACTTAAAATAAAACTTTGCAGAATTGAATTTCTCGCCCCCCCCCATTGCTTAGTAGGCGGATGGGACCTATAAAAGGAGAGCAGTGAGAGAGAAGAGGACATTGCTGGATCCAATGGGCTTGTAAGTATCTTGATTTGAAAAAAAACAAAACGGCCAAGGTAAGGGGGAATAAGTATATTTTACTCTCCCAATTCATCTCCTTTAAACCTTGCAGTGCAGGGGCAGCCCCATTGCAAAGTAAAACTTTTAATAGATTTAGAATAATATTGAAAATTGCTTGCTTTTGAAATGGCATTAACATTTTAAAACTTATATGACATTTTAATCATTGAGTTTACATGTGTTCAATATTATTATAACATACGGTATATATGTAATTTTTTTCAAGCGGTGTGTGTACAGGGAGCGGTCAGTAGGGGGCGCAGTGGAGCGCTGTGCGGAGGGCTCTGTGCTGTTCTCCGGTCTCTTGCTCCGTGTGAACATTCCACCCCCCCATTCCTCTCCAGCTTTACTAGAGCTTTCCTTCCCCTTCCGGATGTCCCGGGTTGAGGCTCCTCCTTGTACACAACACGACCGATAGCTAGGAGAGACAGCGGAGACCGTGCGGGAGAGGTCCGGGACAGGTCAGTGTTGCTCCCCCCCCCCCTCTTGTGTGCTCACACATTGTATCAATCACAGCCTGTCACTGACTCCTCTGATCCTTTCTGTACTTCTGTCTACAAATACAATCCATAGCTCCATAGAAGACTCATTCTATGTTTCCATTTCTTACAGCATCGTGAACTTACTGCCAGTGCCAGTGTTTTCTTGTTTCCAGGGTCAGTCCCAGGTATTTACTGCTTGTATGTGGAAATATTATTGTACCTGGTATTAGATTCTGATATTATGTTACATTGTCTTCTGATGTTTATAAATAGGCAGAATGTGAAATCATAACATGTATACTGGAAGATTTTCAGGTTTTAGGGAACCCCTGCTTAAATAAAACACTCCATTTCACAGTACATTGGTCTGATCCATGAATTGTATGTTTTTGGTCAGTATGGAAGTGTTTCTTAACTTTGATGGTCAGTAAGGAAATTGCTCCCCTACATTGATGTTCAGTAAGGAAATGCCCCCTTGCATTGATGGTCAGTAAGGAAATGCCCCCTTAACATTGATGGTCAGTAAGGAAATGCCCCCTTAACATTGATGTTCAGTAAGGAAATGCCCCCTTAACATTGATGGTCAGTAAGGAAATGCCCCCTTAACATTGATGGTCAGTAAGGAAATGCCAAAATTTGCACAGTGTGTGTGTGCGGCTGTGGGCAACCTTTCGGCTGGCATCCCTTGATTAGCTGATCAAAGGAGCCAGTCGGAAAATCTTCATGCGAACAGAGGCGGCAGCCATGTAGCTCCCGATCAATATGATTCCTCGATCAATATGCTCGTAGCGTTGATGGAGGACTCTGCTCTATTTTTTTCATTCAGCCTGCCGGTTGAACGAATACAATAGAGAAGTGTATGGCCAGCTTTACTTTGGTGGTCAGTGAAGAACAGGCCCCTTAGATAGGTGGTCAGTGGTAGAAGGGCCCCCTTAGATAGGTGGTCAGTGGTAGAAGGGCCCCCTTAGATAGGTGGTCAGTGGTAGAAGGGCCCCCTTAGATAGGTGGTCAGTGGTAGAAGGGCCCCCTTAGATAGGTGGTCAGTGGTAGAAGGCCCTTGGTGGTCAGGGGTAGAAGGGCCCCCTTAGATTGGTGGTCAGGGGTAGAAGGGCCCCCTTAGATTGGTGGTCAGGGGTAGAAGGGCCCCCTTAGATTGGTGGTCAGGGGTAGAAGGGCCCCCTTACAGACAGCTAAAACATCATTGGTATTAGTTGCCTAGGTGAAAGGATGAGAGGAACGGATCTACTGGCCCATGCCGATGGCTCAGACCAGTGAGGTTGGTGCTCTAACTATGCAAGCTCCATCAGCCTGGAGATCAGTCTACCACTGCTCATTGCTCAAGGAACCCCTAACCACCTCTGGAAGAACCCTGGTTGAGGTTGAGGCTGATCTACGTGGTTGATAACTGTCCATAGAGATTATTAGAAATGTTAATAGCTATTTTACCTAGGCATGGAGTTCCTATTATCACCCAATGAAGGTTTCATAGTCATGGAAGGGTGTCAGGTGTACTAGATAATGATGCTGTGTTACTGGAATGTATGGCATACAGCATACTAAACACCGGATCTTGTAAACATGCCGTTAAGTGGACTATAAAGTCTTGTGTACATGAATCTGTTCTACTTTGATGTGTAGGAATTGCCTGAACGCGCGCACACACACACTTTCAATATGTGTGTGGTGGGAGCTGCCAACCAGTAACCGAGTCTGTGTTGTTTTTCCTGGGATTAACATGGAGGAAGTAGCTAATAACAAAAAGCAGGTGACAAGCTTGGAGCACACTGAACGCACCATGCACATCCTGTGCATTATCCCCTGCTCATAATATTAGTCACTTATCTCCTCCTACAGTCTGCTCCTTCCTTATTCCTTTCTGCTGGCTCAGCATATAGGGTCACAGGCTGTTATGTATTGCAGACATTGCATTCAAAGACTTGATTACTGGAACTGTAAATGTCCCTTTCTTTAGATGCATCACAGTTCTCCTCAGGCACACCCTGAATGTTGAAATCTTTTTACTGATTTATTTTTAGCTCTCAGTGTGTATAAAGAATGAATCCATTATTGTCAGCTTGATAAATTCAGACATTGTGTCCTGTCATCCCTGCACCCTGTATATTTCATCCCCTTATCATTCTCCCAGCCGTTCTCAACTAGGGTTCCTCTAGGGCAGTGGTTCTCAAGCTGTGTAACCTCAGGACCCACATTTGTCCTTGGTCATTAAGTCGCCACCCAAGTCTGCAATGTCTGCACGGCATTAGGGTACTGCGTGTTCCGGTGCAGGCGTACGAACTGTGGGTGGGAGGTGCGTTTTGGGTACCATTAAAATGAGTGGCAACGCAACACACCTCCCAACACAGAATGCACGGTAGGTGCAAATGCGTGGTACAGTGCGGTAATCACACTGTACTATGCAATTAACGCGATGTACTAGTGTGAATGGGCCCTTTTTTTTTCTTGAGGTACACCCAGGCTCCCTACCGTACAAGAACTGGAGTGGATCCTCAGCCTGAGGTCCAGTGTGGGCTGCTGTGCTGTGACGGAGCTCCATCCATATGTGCATTGCTTGCACAGCTCCCTTGCGTGCCTGTAGAGGTGCCGGGAGCCAGAATGTGATGACACTCCGGTCCAGGCACTTCTATAGGACATGTGAGGGAGCTGTAAGCAATGCACGTATGGATGGAGCTGCCTCGCGGCCATAGCCCTATCCCATTCCACCTCAAAATGACACTCGGCACCAGGCAGCATATTTTGAATGGCTGCTTGGCACGAGAACTGACAGTGCTGCGCTAGGGGAAGGCAGAAGAGCCTCTAACCTAGAAAAGTGGAAGGCATGTGCCGAACAACTGAACACAGGCTCACGACCCAGCAGTTGAGAACCAAGGCCCTAAAGCATGCTTGCTCTTTCCACTGAACCCCTATGCATTTATTGTAGCAGGGGTCCCCTATAAAAAATAAACAAACAAATTTCTCCAGGACCTGCATTTCACTTGGCAAGCTAGAACATGTACAATTAGAACTTAACTCAACCACAGAGTTTTTTTAGCACAGAGCACATGCAAAGTTTATTTTGCCAAACAAACTTAGCATGCAAAGAATAGAGCCGGGCAACGGGGCAATGTTATTTCTGCACGCAGGTTTGGGGTGGTAGATGACAATGTATTTTGCAATCAAGGCTGATGTCTGTAAGATTAATACATTTGTGTGTTTTTGTAGGTTATATACTAAGTTTCTATGGCTTGGCTGGAGATCGCACCAGAAAACCTGTACTTGTCTGAGCAGGTGATTGTTCTGCTGTCTTGTGCCTTGTCCTTCCTGGGTTCTGCCCTCATCATCTTCACCCACATCCGCTGGCCAGAGCTTCGGAGTCGCCCACGTCAACTTCTCCTCTTCTTGTCTGTAGCTGACCTGTTGTCAGCGGTCTCCTACTTCTATGGAGTCCTGCGTGATTTTAAGGCCTCGACATGGGACTGTGTGGCCCAGGGTGCCCTATCTACTTTCTCCAACACCAGCTCTTTCTTCTGGACCATGGCGGTTGCCCTCTACCTATACATCACTATTGTTCACTCTCAGCAGAGCCTTGCTGAACATATGATCTACTGGTTCCATGTAATCAGGTTAGTAAAAGCCATATATGTTATATAAACACATTCAGAAGTAGGAGATGTGCCAGTAGGTGAGATGTAGTGGTTATGAATACTTATTAATCCATCAAAACAACCAACTGCATTCTTTAGGGAACAGGTTCTCTTGTAGACTTTGTGACCTAATTTTGTGAGTAATCTCCTAAAAGATTTTCCACGAGTTGCTGAGTGAGCATGTTTACTCTGAAACATCAGCAAGAAGAATAGCACAATCGTTTTAACTTTTTTTGCTGTTTCGTTATTTCAGAAGTCTGCAGGAAGGGTTAGTGAACCGTGGTGCCTGCCCTGCTTGCAGCTGTTCATTGTTGTCTGAGGTTTCTAAGTTACAAGGAACTTGATGAAGCTGACAGGAAAAAGGAGTGTTTGAAGGAGGAACAAAAAGATACCTTGATTGTCACCAGCACACCACCAGTATTGCAGTCCAAAGAGTTTGTTTATTGGAACGTCATGCCGCCAAAACTGGTGACATGACATTCCAATAAACAAACTCTTTGGACTCCAATACTGGTGGTGTGCTGGTGACATGTATTCATCTTTTGAAGGAGGAACCACACGTTTTGGGTCACTGATTTGGAGGCACATTTAAAGCCCGATTGAACTTTTGAGTTTAAATTGGTTAGAAACATTTCAGGTGCATCAAAACCAAAATCGCATGCTCTCTATTGATTGAAGAGCTCTAGCTTTGACTCAGCAGGCAGTGTGGCCCTGTTACCCAGAGAGACCACTGCTTCTACACAGAATGCAAAGGTTCTACGCTGTAGTATGCTAGAAGGAATCTAGCTTTTCTACTCAGGACGTGGCTGCTTTCTGAAGAAAATGAACTGTAAGACTTTGCACAACTTTTGTTATGGTGCACCTGGAATGCATTTAGCTGATTTTTACCCAACCCCAGTTTGGATTTAGTAACCTAGAACAAATGTGCACTAAAAACCATTGATATGGGCCTTGAGGAGATAAGGTTAGTGCCTGCGGTCCTCCTCTGTGGTGAGGAATTTAGGAGGAAGGATTATATCTGACTAGAGGTTCCAGAAGTCATTTAACTTAGGGTTGTGAAGTGGTGCATTGATGCAAGTAAGGCAAGGCAATTTATACAACCTGTTTTATTAATCCCTTTTGGGTAAGATACTTTGCAGTGGTTTTTAGAAGCCATTTTTTACCGTTTGACACCTGTAAGATTTACACTGCCTGTCCAAAAAAAAAGGTCACCCTCTCTAATATTTTTCGTTGGACCCACTTCTAAGAAAGGAAAATTATAGTAAGTATTAGGTAATCATTTTCTAATTTTCTGTAATATATAAAACACACACACTGTCTAGCCAAAAAAAAGTCACACACTGCTATTTTGTTAGAGTGCCTTTAGCTTTGATTACGGCATGCATTCGCCATGACATTTCGATAAGCTTATGCAATGTCAAAACATTTATTACCACCCAGAATTCCATTAACTTTTCACCAAGATGTTGTAGTGATAGGAGAGTTGGATTACTGCTTAAAGTCTTCTCCAGCACATCCCAAAAGGTCTCAATGGGGTTAAGGTCTGGAATCTGTGTTTGCCAATCCATATGTGAAAATGATGCCTCATGCTCCCTGAACCACTCTTTCACAATCTGAGGCCAATGAATCCTGGCATTGTCATCTTGGAATATGCCCAATGTGCCGTCAGGGAAGGAATAATCAATTGATGGAAAAATCTGGTCATTCAGGTAGGCAGCTGACCTCATTTTTTGGGGACATAACATTGCTGAACCTAGACCTATTATCCAATGGAAGGCTCTGACCTATTGTTTAGCAGGTGGTGACTTTTCTTTTGGCCAGGCAGTGTTTATCTGGGTTTTTATTTATTTTTCTGTAGGTAAAATGCCATTCTTTACAGATTTACTTGTCTCTTCACTTGGGTGCATACTTTTGGCCCCACTTAATTTATCTTGTTGCAATGGGGGAATTCTGTGGGTACAGACAAATGGAATTATGGTAGACTGTAGCTGGAGTAATGCAGAGAAAAGCTGCAGCCTCAAGAGCTTTACTGCAGGCAAGAAAATGCGATGAGTGTTTTATGTTAGACAACAACCATAAGGCTGGGTTCACACCTGAGCGTATTTTTTCAGCTTGTTTTTTTTGCATTTTTTAGCATGTTTTTCCATTCAGTGAAACGTGCGTTTCACTGGCGGTATGATTTTTTTTTTTTTTGCTTTTTTTTTCTTTTCTTTACAAAAAAAAAATTTTTTCACTTTTAAACTTCCAACTGGCTCCGCCCCCCTTCCACGGAAGTCGGCAGCCGCCGGAGGACACAGCAGGGATCGCAGAAAGGTAAGACCTGTACGTGTATTCCCGAGTGTGGCTCGGGGTTACCGCTTTGTTAACCCCGATCCACATTCGGGAATACCAATGGAAGCGCGCTGAAATACGCCCCTTCGCGCTGTGAAACGCCCAGGTGGGAACCATGCCCATAGGCAATTATTGGTTTTCACATGTTGAGTGTTTTACAGCGCGTAGGAAAGCACTGTAAAACGCCCAGGTGTGAACTAGGCCTAAAGGTACTGAACTGGGGGCAGCAGTACAATGCAGCCACCTAGGTTTTTCTGCCAGTAACGCACTTCCTATCCTAGGATGGCCGCACTTACCCATTGTACTGTACTTGTGGAGGAGCAGCATTGTTGGCCTAGGACAGGACTACAGAACACCCCCTATCTTTTCTATAACATAGAGAGGATGTATTTTATAGTCAACACAAATAGCTGGGAATAATGTGACTGAGTGTCGTACAGGCAAAGAGCCCAGGGAGCTTTCAGCTCACTAGATTTCTGGCAGGATAAACATGTTTTGCACTTGTTTAAAAGATATAAAGAAACGCTTTCAATCGAAAAAGGCAAAAAACAAGGGCCATTTATTGTAAGGGTTTACATACACTTTAAATGGTCAGTTTTCCAATCGCAGATATTTAACTTTGTCGCACTAAATCCCTGAGTGGCTTCCTACATCTGTGCACTGTCTGTTCAAAGAATGAGTGTAACAGTGTTAATCTTAAAACAGTGCCACATTTGTATACATTCTATAAACAGACCTTTGTTATGTAATTTGTGTAGACCTACATTTGTTGTTTGTAATGTCACGCATTAGTTACAGTCTGATTTACTTACTTTAGAATGTTTTTAGTGCAATTAGATGATCAATTACAATAAATTTGAAGAGTTTCATGTGAGTGGCTGGCTTATGGGGTTGAAGCTGCAAGGATGAAAACAACTAAATGAGAAACAATTATTTCATTTATGTGAAAGTTTAAAAGTTCATGTTAAAAAACCCTGAAGGGTTTGATTGCTGTGTGCCCAAATGCCTGGGAGCACACTTGGTCAGCCCATGACTTGTTATGATATAATCATAGATTTTATTCTGTAACTCAAAAGCAATAAAATTACAGAAAACCACTAATCCCCGAAGGCCTGGAAATATATACAGCATATAAATGCACAGAATTCACACTCGTGTCACATAACCTCTTGTATGTCCTAGATTGCCACAGCTGTAAAGAACATCATGTATCCAAACATTGCTTATCAGATGTATCTTCTGCAAATATAAATTCAGTCAGGAGGGGTACCATAGCATTATCCTGCATTCATTTTTGTTTTTTCTTCTATTTCACTCTAACCTATCCCTTAGTAATCTACATCTCCTGTAAATTATCTTTGGTAGTCCTGGCTAGTCCTAGTAGTCCAAGGCCTACCTGCCTTGTTTCAGGATCGGCTGCTAATAAATACCAATTTTTCCTTTTACACAAAAGGCATCTTGAGATAATGGGTGCTTTCCTGTGCAAATAAAAAAACCCCAACAATCATATGCAAAGTTAAACAAAAACACTCTCCTTCTGTGTCTGTTGCTATAATTATAGAAACAGGATGTCTTGCTGCACTCCTTACCGAAAAGACCCCAAACTGGGTGGGTGCTCGTAGTGACCACGGAAGGCACTGTGTATATCACAGAAAGTAGGAATATGTGCTGGTGACATTATTCCTACTTTCTGTTGCTATATATAATGACCAGTGTTCCTACCAGTTTGTATAGTGATGTTGTGACTACTAGATCATGTGTATTCCCTTTTAGTTCGTTTTATGCCAAATTCTTTTTTTTGTTGTTGTGATATTTGTGTGGTTTGCTCTGGGATGATATGTTGTTGATGAACATTGATGGTAGAGCCATTGAATTAGGGTTACTTTTGATGTTATCTGTTCTCTTGGTGTTACTCTGACCAAGTGTGTTCCTCAGGTATTTGCATGTTGAGCGCCCAGTAACACAAAAAAAATTATTTTTTTCATTTCTGTAAATGTGTACATTTGTAAATGAAATGCAACAGGTTATTTATGCCAATACACCAAAAGCACATGATATATAATTCTTAATTTTATATATGCACCAGCAATAATGTATACTACAGTTGGATACACTTTGCTATGACCGATGTACTTGTTACATAAAGTGTGTTGCATTGAATTGATGTGATAGTACCAAGTGAAACCCCTGTAGCATAAAAGATGTGTACTTTGTAGAATGTACAGCATGTGTAACAATATGAGAGCTGTGGTACATCATATTTTATGAAGCATACAAAATTTAAATATCTACCAGATATATTGTCACTTCACTTCCCCTGAGGCCAGTGTGCCTGGCAAAACCGGTAGAGACCGCATCTGGAGGGCCTTGTGATTGTCATGATTGCTCATGGATGACTTCTTTGGTCATTACGAGCCTGCAGTTGGAACAGTGGCTAATGGATGGGTGGATGCTTCACTCAGACTATTGGACCTAGGATTAGATAAGTGCATCACAAATATTTTATTTATGAGATCATAACATGTATTGCATTCTAACTAAACTGCATGATTAGAGCTAGAAGTTTTATATTTGTGTGTTGTTTGGTGGACATTTTCCATATGTTGGAGAGACGCATTCAGTGTCGGCACTGGGAGACACTGGCAGTT